GTTTCGACACTGCTTATTCCTTATTTTTAATTAAATACAAATATTGACTTTTCCTTTTTGAAGAGAAAATGTGGTTGAAGCTGGAAATATTTTATTCATGCAGCGGTTCTACCTGCAACCGTGCAGATAAATTTAAAAACTAATCTTTTTAATTGTTATTTAGTTTTATATTAAAGAAAACAACGCTTAAAGGCTTTTATTGTAGTAAATATAAATGAAAGAAGTATAATATATATGTAATCGACCATAAACTTATTTTTTAAACAACTAGTATAAGTACTGTTAATGATATAAACTATTAGACATTTTCAACTTATGGATAAAAACYATGAKCAATATTTGTCTTTGACTATGAGTACTTACAAAAACGAACAAAAGTTTTASTATTGTCAATATATGTATCAATGTACATTTCAAGAATTATGAAAACTATCTAAAATATGTTCAACTTAAGACACATTACACCGTAACATGAAAAACATTTATAGTATTGTAAATTAATTTGTGAACACAACTTTGAGTAATAATAAAAAGTACATATATTGCAGGTTGTATGCGAATCATAAATTTAGTTTTAAAAAATAAAAAAATAAACTAAAAAAAAACAATTTTTATACAAATTATAGTAAACATTTTTTTATTTATTTCATTTTGTTTTCATTTTTCATTAAAAAAATTCATAATTCACAAAACATGAGATTAAACCATTTACAATTGTTGAACATTATTGAACATTTTTACCTTTGTAAGCTAAAGTGATTTCTTTTTTGTTTTAGATGCATTAAATACTTAAAGCTAACTTAATTCAATTTGACTTTAATATAAGACTTAATTATAATTASAAGTAGTTTGTAATATAATTTCTAACACGATATTTTTATATATATAGTACAATTTTATATTTTAATAAACGTTTTCAATATATTAATATATTGAATAAATTATATCCGATTTGTTTCATAAAAAAAAAATCATGCATGTAATTTTTATTTTGTAATTATTTTGGTCCTTGTAAGTAAAAAATTTCAAAATTAGACAAATTCCACAAATGACGATAAAATTTTAAGTAGAGGTCTATAGAAACTATATTACCTATAATTGTTTTTAAAATATTAAAATATTTTTTGAAACAGCTTTTTCCTCTACACAACAATAACTGTAATGCACGATTACTTTGGAAATCCACCACACGTGGTTCTTTGGAGAGGAAATTGTCAATATTTTTT